GCCATAATAATCATATACATTGTATATTGACAAAATAAAAATTTAACGAAAAAAAAGAAAAATAAAAAATAAAAAAAAATAAAAAATAAATAAAATGTTACAAATTTTATTAAACACCATTAAAATCTTTCCATCAAGGACAAAGTAAAGGCCAAGTGAACAATAAAAAGTTTTGATATATATCACTTGAGGATAGATACCCATGCACTGAACTATACATTTACTAAGGATGTTTAAAAAAGACTATACTATCCTAGAAATAAAACTAAAAATAATCTCCAAAGAAAAATTCAACCAAAATGTATGGCTAAAATCAGTAATTTAAGGGCAACTGTTGTTCAAGACCTTGATGTGATGCATATAAAATACATGAGAATTTTAAAACATAAAAATTCCAGGAAGAGATAAAATGTCAACTGTGGCAAAAACTCTTAGTTAAAATGCACCCGGAAGTTCTTTATTTATCAAAGGTTTCTGTAAGATGTATCAGGAGAAGGGAAGACTGTCTAACCTTTGATGTGCAGTAAGACAGGCCAAGAGAACAGCTAAGCAAGGAAATGCACTGGAATTTCAAATGGCTGGCACCAAAGGAGTAACAGATTTGACAGTTTTCACCATGGAGCCCAGGGCTTCTACAGTCATGTGTTTTATCTATTCCTACATTTATAAAAAGAATTACCTTAATACCATTCTGGAACAAAAAAGTGTGTAAATAAATATAATAAAAATATTAATTGCAAAAATACTCCTTTTTAAGCCAAAAGCCAATTAAGTTCATTTATTATTGTCATTCTCCCCTAAATCATTTTGACCTTACATTAGGTTTTTGCACATACAATTTGAACTAGGTTGCTCCCATGTGATGAACGAGTTGATGGGTAACACCTCCAACATCTCTCAAGGTAGCATTTCTATATGTCGATGTTTTAAGCTCAGTGCCAGTAACCATTTACTCTCACAAATCCAAGAACATTCATTGATGATGAAATAATATTTAAGATGTCAAGATAAACGGATACTTCCTCTGTTTACCTAATGTAGAGAGCTACAGAATACCTCCAGGATGATTTGATTTTGGTGTGTAAGAAACTATTTCACCAAAGCACAGGGGCTTTTTGTTTTGTTTTTAATAGTCCGCCCCTACCCCCATTTTGCCATTGTACTGAGATTTCTTTCTCTTCCACTTCTATCGACTTCTCAGGTAGCTGGCTGGCTGATTTTCTTTCATTTATATGCAGACTTTTTTTTTTTTTTTTTACACAAACCACGAAACAATTCCTTCTGTATTCACTATATGAACTCAAAGGTAGGAAATTGCATTCTTTATCAAGTTACTTATATGTGAGGGTAATTTTCCCGAAAACTTAAAAAGACTTCCATTCAGAGGACCACAGAATGGAAGCATAGCTTCTAAACAGATGGCAGTTCTCTTTAAAAGAGTGAGAGTTCTACAGAGGGAGGAACATTAGATCATGAAGTAGTCACCTTTGCAGGGGTTTAATCAAGATCCATTTTCTCCCACCAGTTAGTCAAAGGAACTGACCGAGTCCCTTTGCCTACCAACCTCGAAACGGAGTGTGGAATATAATACAGAGAAACACAAAATAACCTAGCCATCAAGCTGCTTCTAATCCAGCTAAGAAGCTACAGTAAGACCTATGTGATACAGCTGAAGAACCCAAAACAGCATTGGAATAGATCACTCAGCACCCCTATTTGTTTTATCAGAAGAAAGGGATAAAAAGGCTCAATTCTTAAAAAAATGTTGTGTTCAGTGGAACAAAGATGCCTTACAGCCTGCTATGATGGGGTGGGAGGAAAATCATGTAAAGGGAGATACTTCCTCCACACCCATCACCCACTAATCAATCATATGGGTTTTTTTAATGTTTTTAAAATTAGGGCTGCAGAAGGGTTTTGTATGAAAAAAATACTTTGAAGTTAACAAAAAACACAAGTTTAAAAACTACTGAACTAGAAGGTCCCTAAGGTCCATTCCAGTTCTTAACGCTTCACAATTTTATGATCTCTTAAACAATCAACTCAGACTCATTGCTGAGATCACCAGATTTTGAGCAGATTGTCTAACATTCTGCTCACTGTTCTTATGATGTCTATCTTAGGATGATATTATGGTGGTTTTGGAGAAACATTAGCAAAAAGAAAAACTAGGTGATATGGCTTCAAATGGTCCTGAGAAAGAATCAATGGAAGTAAAATATTCATATCTGAAAGTACTGACAGTAAAAAAACACTGGTCAATTAGCAAAATAACTGAAGACCTGGTGGTGGATATAGCAGGCTACCACTGTACATGATTATTCTCAAACTAAGTTGCCTGAACTTATTACAACACATGCTACCGTCAAAACAGGTAAGTGGAAGCCTGGAAGTATTCTTCCAAAAGGCTGAACATAGCAAACTGCATTACCTGACCCCAGCCTGTGTACTCATTTCCTTTACCACAATTCCCATGGAGTGCAACTAATATCAATCATGACAAAAGAATCAAGTGAAGAACCAAAGAATATGCTGGTTTTGGGGGATCTTTAATCTTGTATAAATTTCACCCATAGGAAAAACAAAAATACTTATTGGTGAGTCAGTTATATATAGCTGAAATGTTTCTCTGTTGAGTTCACCCAAGGAAAAGATATTGTCATTTGGTTCAAATATGAAATACATAATGATTCTGTTCATTAATGCCTTCAGTTCTCTACAATATATATTCCAATACAAATTTGAGTCATTGGCCTAGAAAGTTTGTATACTTCAGGAGTCTGCCTGATTGGATGCTGGATTCGCTTTTGTACAAGCACCTATGTATGCGTGCTGCAAATAGGCACATTCAAGGTACATTCAAAGAATAGACTTGTCTTCATCCAAAATGAAGAAACTGAATTTAACATTTAACATTACTAAATAAGCTCCTTCCCTACAAACCCACACATGCAACACACACACAAAATCGCACAAAAACAAACAACAGAAAACAAAACTGAAGCAACAGAAAACAATTTATAGTTGGTGCTCCATTTAGCCTCAAGGTAGCATGTTCATACAACCCTGTCAATTAGAAAAACCTCAGTGCCAGATGCCCTTTATAGGAAGAGATATATGAGCATAATGGTGTTCTTAAAAGTGTCATCACCTGACAGACATCAGAACGAATGCCAGTTTTCCAGAATCCTTGGCTACTTAGCTCCACGGTTACCTCTCGCCTCATTGTATTCTTCTGTCGTATTTTTTGAAGAGCTTCCTAGAAAAGAACTCATTATGATGAGTAACCCGAGAGTTGTAAAGCAATATTAAGCCAAACATCAAGCATTAGAAAATAAACTGGACTCACACTACCTTTACATTCAGGTACTCAAATCTCTTCATGCAAAATTACAATATTTTATTTGAAATGAAGACCAGGATGCTCGAAGTCTTGGGTATATAAGGTAGCCTTTTCTAGTAACTAAATAAGAAAAAATCTAAACCAAATCTATCATTCTGGAATGTTCAAACAAAACATGGCCTTTCACTGATTAAAGAAACAAAATGTGGCATTTGGGATTTGAAATCAAGCATGTAAAAATCATATTTATATCAAGCCTTATGTTAAATATTTAAATCTGAGAAAGAATCAGTAAATTAACCTGCAACCCACACAGTTCTAAAAGTTGCCTTCTAATTTACAAACCATTTAACAAAAACTCTGGCTGCAAGGGTACATCTTACTTAAAAAAAAAAAAAAAAAATGATCTAAAACTTCACCTGTGAGACATAATCAGAAGTTAACTCTTCCCTTTTTACTACCCTGAAGGGAAAATAATTAATTACAAAAATAATTTTATATTTGTACACATTCAATTCAACAAAAATCTCAAAGGAGTTCATAGTAACTACAGGAACCACTACCACCATCACCTCTACCACTGATTTAAGTTCCTACTGCAGGCCAAATACCATGGGAGGAATGTTAAATGGAGTGATTTAAAAGTCCACACTACCACTCTTTTCCTTGGGTACACCAAGACAGGGACATTTCAGTCAGTCTCTTCACCTTAGTTCCCTCCTTTATAAAGAGGCTAACTAGCTAAAGTCATAGTTAATGACAAAGCCAGGATTTGAATACTTTTCCCAGCTTCAAAGGCTTGCTCTTACACTACAGCAGTAGAATAAAACCTCATTGAGACAAAACCTATGCTGATTCTGAATCCATTTATTCTTAAAATTAAAACTAAAACATAAATAACCCTAGAATAAAGGGATAATACTACCTATTAGTAAAGTAATAAGAAATTTGGGATACAAAACCTTATAAAATAAGTTCAGGTTACTAAACTGATAGAACTAAGGAAGACAATATTTTACAGCCTTAATATCAAGTCTGAGTAAAAACCAATGTTGTACCAATGTGCAGTCTAATTAAAAGGGTGATTTGGCAAATTTTAAGCTTCCTTTAATTTCTATAAAACACACACACAGACACACACACATATATATATTTTTTGGCAGCTAGCTAACCCTTGACCTTGGTGTTACACAGCTCTCTAATCAACTGAGCTAACCGCCCTGCCTATATGACATGTATGTGATTCCCAGTGATAATAACATATTAAGAAACTTGCCTTTTTAGGAGTAAAAATGTTCCCTTAGATAATAAAAGATTTTTTTTTTCCTTTTTGTCTTTTTTTCATGTCCGGCAACGGATCGCAACCCTCAGTGTCGCGCCCGTACCGGACTGGGACCGGCAACGGGATCGCAACCCTTGGTGTTGCTCCCGTACCTTGCTCAGCCAGTGAGCGGGAACCGGTCTGTATGTGGGATCCGAACCCTCAGTGGGAGCGCCACCGCGCTCCCAAGCGGCGCACTGTAGCAGTGCGCCACCGGGCCAGCCTATGATAATAAAAGATTTTAAAAACAAAACAAAACCAATCAGTATATACTGATGTGAGGAGTGGAGTAAAGTATGATCTTTTAAAGAGTATTTTTTTCCATCTCATTCTAGAAGTATAGTGTAATACAACAATCTTGAATAAACATGAAGCACATCATCATTAATCACCAAGGAACAGGATTCAATACTGACCTCCCTCTGTGCCAGCTTCTGTTTGTCGGTTTGCTTGACTTTGGGACTATTTGCTAGGAGGTGGCGAAGTTTCACATAACTCTTCCACAGTTTCTGGTACCTAAGGGAAAAAACAGACAAACATCTTTGACAAAGAGAAGGTGAATCTAAAGTGCGACAAAACCAGTTATTTTAATCAGCCTGCTTAGTCATAAACTATATTCTTTTGAATATCTTAATGGCAGCAAACCTTCTTCATTCTAACAGAGGATATGATTTTGGGATTGAGGGGCAGGATGGCCAAGAGTCATCTGGAGCCTGGTGATTAAACTGGTTATTGCTTGTTTGGATTGAAAATGAGGTGTGACTATACAAACAAATCTCTGGTTTTAGAATTCTAAAAATGACACAAAAACACTTTAACCAATAGAAACATGTCCTGTTTCTACTGTTACTTCTTTGAAAGTGACAGATTATATTTAAATATGTACTTTCTGATGTTTGTTGAAAGAAAAACCCCTTCCTTAATAGGGAGATGGTCAGTCTCTGAACTGCCTATACCCAAAATAAGAATTGAAGAGTATTAGAACGGAGAATCATTTGTGCCAACACTCAAGCTACACAGCTGCATCCGTTTTTCCAGTAAGAGGAAAAGACAAACGGTGTATACCAATTTGCATCTACCATGACAAAAATAAGCATATTTGTTGTAGCCAAATACATGGTAACCTGACTCAGTCTAAAGCATGCTGGGAACAAAGAGCATACGTAGCCCATCAGTTCACAGTCCTGCCATGTGAGAGTCCACGAGAGCCTGATCACATTCTACTAACATTTTTCTGACAAAAAGATTTTTTTTTTTTTTTTATTACATGACCGGTAAGGGGATCTTCACCCTTGACTTGGTGTTGTCAGCACCATGCTCACCCAATGAGCTAACCGGCTATCCCTATATGGGATCCGAACCCGTGGCCTTGGTATTATCAGTACCACACTCTCCCAAGTGAGCCACGGGCTGGCCCTTGACAAAAAGATTTTCCCAAGATTTTCTGTCATATTGAAACTGCTCCTTTCTCGGCCTTAGCTAGGACTCTCCTTTTTTGATAACATTTTTTTAGAGAATGGAGGAAAGAAAAAAGTGCTTACAGAGGGCCTGGTTCACTGCTTCATACTTTTATCCAAAGGAGGGGGGGAGAACAAAACCCTTTAGCCTCTTCCAATGTTCGTCAGCCAGAGGTGTATTTATGAATTGAAAATCTCCCATGCCCTTTTCTCCCATTATGAATCCCTTTTAAAATAAAGTCAGGAAACTATTCGTTTCTAGGTAGGAAATCCAAACAGTCCTGAAGAATACATAAAGAGCTAGATGTTTTTTTTTTTTTTGGCAGCTGACTCCTCAGCAAGGGTATCTGAACCCTTGACCTTGGTGTTATCAGCACCACGCTCTAACCAAGTGAGCTAACCTGCCAGCCCAGTCCTGAAGAACATAATGGCACTATCTCCATTCCCACAAATCCTCACCTTCTCCCAGAAAAACACTAACATGCCAGCTGGAAAAACCCTGACATCAATTCCAAGAGGCAGAAGTCATGGCTCCTACTTCCAACACTGACTCTACATGAGACCCTGAGCTCTTATTAAGATGCTCCCCAAAATAGAACTCTGCATAAATTCGGCAGTGCTAAGAACCAATATGGTGCTACTTTCCTCTAGAAGGCACTGAAAAAAATAATAACAATAATTATTATAATGACAAATAAAGGAAATGGTCCTTAAAGTTTAAAAGCATACAGGACTCGTATTGACCAAGATTGCGAAGGATAACCTATTAAATGATAATTTTTTGCAGTCAAATATGTAGAGAAAATAAGTCTTCAGCAGCTACCAAAATTGGTTCATTTGGTAACCTAAATCTGGAAACCTGGTTCATTTCAGGTCTTAAAATTTTTAAAAAGGAAAACATCCACTAAAGGGTGCTCCTCTGCTAATTCAGTTGTTAGTAGAAGGTGAAACGGGTTAAGACAAACACCAAGAAATATCTTACTGTGGGTCTCCTGCATAACTCAATTGTGCAGGGCGTATCCCAAAGTGGACGATAATCGGAAACGTAATCACATCGGGGTTGAACTGCTCACGATCCAGTTGATCGATGCGGACAGAGCTTGGTTTCTAGAGAAAAAAATCAAAGCCATTTATTTCCATAAGAAGTCTTTAAGTATTGACTTTAACCTAAGTAGGGAAGGAATTAATCAAATTTTTTTTCTAGGAAAGCCTTGTCTCCAAGGGAAAATGTCATTTGAAACCCTTTAATCATAGCAGCTAGACTATATAAAAACTATAATGTCATCCCTGTAAATGAGTCTACACCATTTGGCATAATGAGCAATGATTTTGTCCTTTTTTGCAGTCCACACAGAAACCTTTAAAAATTAAACTTTTAAAAGGACACCTAGTCATATATAACTTTTCCTTAACCTCTCTAAAGGTACAGGGGAAGGATTCCACATCACAGGGAAGAGATGTACTCACTTATTCTGCTTTAATTTCACATTTTAAATGAATAAGTTACTTCTACTCAGGATGCACAGATACCTCCATTTAAAAAAAATTTTTCCCATTAGTTGTCAGTATATCTGTATATTACTCTAATTCTACACCTTTAAATTAGAAGGTATGCCAGTACAAAGGCCAAATAGTTAAGCTTCTCTTATTATGTCCGCCTAGGAAATTTTTGTACTTGAACAGAGAGCCTCATGTGTTTGTTTGTTTGTTTTTTTTTTCATGTCTAATACAGAAAGAAGTGAATGGCTGGTTCCTTCCAAACCATTTGTAAAATACGTTTCATCTTGAAAGCTTAAATTTGTGAAAAGATGGCAAAATCATGAAGAATATGTTTTAGCAATCTCCTTGCTTATAATCAACTCTTGGGACAGTCCCTAATTAGAGACTCAACTCTCACTAGCAGATTGTGGGGTCTTTAGCTCAATTGCTTTAGAGGCTAAAACTGCAGAACTGATCCTCACAGAGGCCAGTAATCTTCATTCTGTTCCACAGTGCTCAACAACTACAGTCTGGTGGCCTGGTTGTCCAGGACAGAGGGGTTGCAATGCTAAACCCAAGAAAGCCCCCACCAACTGGGATAAGCTGGTCACCTTAACTGCAACTGTTGCCCTAATCAGCCATCTGAAAATTCAACTAGGTAACAAAGAATAAACTTGTGTGTACTCATCTACATTAGTTAACAAACAACTCAAACTTAAGTCTTTAAAAAAATATTTAAATGTCATTTAATAATTGAAATTTTACTAGTATCTTGAAAAGTTGGCCTCTCCTCTCAAAATTAATACATGAAAAAGATTTTGTTCACAGGTAACCTAACATAAAACAATTTAAATGCCTTAAATGCCTACCAACAGTAGCAACATGTTACTTAGGTCTAAAAATGGTTTTCATTATTTTGTGTATCAACGCAACACGATACATTTTTGAAAGAGGAATTGTCCAGCAGAAGAAAACTTCTGAATTATTCATGTTTCTGTGATTTTTAAACACCATGCTATGGTATTAATAGAGGAAACAGTAACTTTAAATATCTACAGTATCTCTAAATTTATAAGGGAAGTAGGAAATGAAATAAGTTCTAGACTTTGGCCACACCCTGCAACTTCTATTGTACCATATTGGTGGAAGAATAAAAAACATTCTCACAAATGACCAAAGTATTCCCTGGCAGACACAAAGTGCTTAGGGAAGAAGATTAATTCTTTTAAGTTCTGCAGCAATAAAGTTTTTAATGTGACCATAATGGCTTAAAAAATTTGATGAATTTCCCAATATTCTTGCAACTGGGCAATCTTTCAAAGCAAGTACTACAGAGAATGAAATATAGTGTCATGTTTACCTTGCCTTGTGAGTAACTTGTACACTTTTCAAAGGGATGTTTTTGTGATATTGAGTTCTCAGAATCTTTTCCTCCTTTAAGGATATCTTTATATAAATACTAAAAAAGAATTAACTTCAACATATTCCAAAGCCTGACACCCAAATTTACCTTTCCTAATTTATTTCTGATTATTTTTTTGATATAAATCTTTCATCCTGACCTAGTCTGGTTTCCTCACTATCTTCAAAATTGGCCTTATACTATCATGAGTATATACATTTAATCATGCCAGTAATTTACACAATTTCTCAATTCCTCTCTGTAGTATCTGTGAAGCATCCCTGGCAAGTCTGGCTCAGTGATCTCTCCTAAAACTACAGACTATTTTGACCAGTCCATTGGCTCAGCAATTCATCATGGACTCCTTTCACATGTATGTGCCTTGGCTTTTCACCTACAAAGCATTATATACAATACATAAGCTTCACTAGCACTGGCTCACATAGTAATCCCTCAACAAGTTAGTTGAATGATGATCATAGAGAGAGGCAAATGTGACCTATGCCACTGGCTCAAAAAACAGCAATGGTGGGCCGGCCCGGTGGCGCACTGCTACAGTGCGCCGCTGGGGAGCGCGGCGGCGCTCCCGCCGAGGGGTCGGATCCCACATACAGACCGGTTCCCGCTCACTGGCTGAGCAAGGGGCGGGCGCAGCACCCAGGGTTGCGAACCCGTTGCCGGTCCCGGTCCGGTACGGGCGCAACACTGAGGGTTGCGGTCTCTTGCCGGACACGAAAAAAAAAAAAAAAGGGGAACAGAAAACACCGGGGGTTTTTTTTTTTTTTTTTTTTTTTATACTATAGGATCCTAGGCCCCATTGCCTGGAGCATATGGGGTGGGGTTAGCAGTGTATCCTCAGCTTTTTTAAAAAGCTCTTCAAATCATCTAGGATTTCAGGAAAATTTATGCCATGGAAGGAAGCTCAGGGTGAATGTGCTCCCAAAGTGTCCACTGTAGTACACAGGACTCTTAAAGTGGAATAATCAAGATGAAAATGTATGTCTCCCACCACCATCACCCCATCCTCTGACCCAACTCTAAACCTTGACTCAAGAAATATATGCAACTGCTTAAAGAAGAAAAATAAAACACAAAATCTTATTCTTATAGTGCTATTACTTATATGCTGCTTTTAAAATTACTTTAATAATTATTATGTGGCTTTACGGTGTAACAGTAAGAATTATATGATTTTCCAGTTTTAAACAAGTTTTATGTTTAAACATTACTTTTTTAAACAATTTCACTTTCTGGATTTGTTTAAAATAATCAGTATTAACTGGAATGTTTTATTTGCAAATAGCAACATTTTGTTTGTGCAGATGTTACTGTCAGGCTATAAAAAGTTCATCCAGAGTTTCATTTTATGAATCAAAGCTATTAAACAATTGGCAGCTTTTTTAAAATAGCTTTGTTTAAAAAGATTATTCTGTTTCTTTACATGGAAGCTTTTAATTCTCCATTTCTGCAAAATTTTATTCTGATAAGATGCCAATATATAACTATTTTATGAAACGATAACATATTTTAGAGCAAAAAAAGATCTGCTAAATGTAAAGAAAATGCTATGTTTTATATAAGAGAGAATTGGTTATCTTTTAATTCTCTGCTTTTCATTTTTATATTTTTACTTCAAAACTTAATATAAGAAGCTAATTTTAAAAGAAAAAATTTGAGGGCCGGCCCGGTGGTGCACTGCTACAGTGCGCCGCTTGGGAAGCGCGGTGGCGCTCCCGCCGAGGGTTCGGATCCCACATACAGACCGGCCACTCACTGGCTGAGCAAGGTGCGGGAGCAACACCGAGGGTTGCGATCCCGTTGCCGGTCCCAGTCCGGTACGGGCGCGACACTGAGGGTTGCGATCTGTTGCCGGTCACGAGAAAAGACAAAAAGGAAAAAAAAGAAAAAGAAAAAATTTGAGAAGCAAACAAAAGAAATGGGAAATACTTGTAATAATTATGGCAAAGGATCAATAAAAAAAGGACAAATACTGCAAAAGAAAAACAGATAAAGGATATTAATAGGAAATTATCAAAATAAAACATAAACAGCCAATAAACATTTAAAATATCAATTTTCACTAGAAACCAAAATAAATACAAAACTGAATTAAATAATTGGCAATGTTTTTCTTTAAACGAGTATAACCAATATGAAGAAATATATACTCTCAGAATACAAATTTTACAACTCTCTAGAAGGCAATCTACAACATGAATCAAGCCTCAATAATGTGCATATTTGTGTTCCTCTGGGACTGGGGGAAAAAAATATGTATAGTTTCTGGCAGAACAAATTTATTAATCAGGTGAATTTACTACTACCTATGCCTAAAATGTAATATTCTTCTTATTTACTAAACATTTAAAGGAAAAATTACACAAAGGACAAAAAGCAATGAGTACATAAAGCGTTTTAAACAGGCTCTTATTGTTATTGTGAAACATTCAAACCTGGAAAAGAAGGTGACTCAGTCTGAATGTGTAAATACCAGAGCATACCGTTCCGGGGTTGGTGACAATCATGCCCTTGCATTCTTCTGCATATTTCTGCCACTCGAGCTCCTCCCACTGAAGCATATTGGCAATCTCCTCTTCAGGTACTAGGGCTTTGCTACACCGTAATAAGTAGAGGAGAATCTGGTGCATGGACAACACCTCCTTTCCTCCATCTTGAGTGGGAGTGGAGAGAGAGAGGGGAGAAAGTAAGGCTACTCAATTAACAGCAAATCATCAGCTGCATGAGGAAAAACAAGACAATGGGGGTGGAGGGGAGGAGCACATATAAAAAGGAAATTTAAAATTTACAATGTTTAACCAGGTGCCAAATAATCCAAAAGCCATTTGTTTCATTGATGAACAGTGCTCATAAACCATCTCATTTGCTAAAATGAGAACAACACCATTATAAATGATAAAAGGGCTCCATTTGCGAGGTATGAATATAAAAAAGGTGCCTACCTAAATAAATTTAAGGCCACCTAGCATAAAAAAAGCCACAGTTTATAAGAACCAGGTTATGTCTTAAATGTTTTATCATTCTTTCTATGGTAACAGATGAAGCTCTTTAGAAGTGATATTACTGTCTTAAGGAAATTCTAAGCTTTTATGAGATATTTTTGGATGTTTTCAATAAGCTATTGTTGCATTATGGTCTAATTTTTTGGTGTTAATGTGCTGCACCTGCCGTGATGAATAGAGCTAAAGACCCTGTACTAATATCATGGAAGATCATTATGGAGTCAGTACATGGAAAAAATACCAAGTGTTCTGAGGCTTATAGGAGCATATATCACCAAGAACAGAGGATACAAAGGACATAATTAAAGTACCTTAGAAAAAGCCAATTGATTTGGTATTTGATGAACCAAAGACGTCTATTTAATGTGGACTAATAATGCAGGATTCACAGGCTTCTGCCTTCTTTGGGCTTAGCTTTTTTTTTTCCTTTCCTTTGGTGGCTGGCCAGTACAGAGATCCGAACCCTTGACCTTGGTGTTATAATACCACGCTCTAACTAACTGTGCTAACCAGCCAGCCAGGCTTAGCATCTTGACCAACATGGGCAACAACTTTGTACCACTTTTCTTTGCCTACTCCCACCAAAGGAAGAAAAAAGAGTCCATGGGCCGGCCCGGTGGCGCACTGGAGAGTGCGCCACTTGGGAGCGCAGC